GTTTATTGAAGGCACATAGGTTTGCAAATCTCTCACCATTTTCGTTCCTTTCTCCCAGTCCATGTCGTCCCATGATGTCTTCATAACCAGTGTTGTCCGTTCCAACCTTGGCGTTGAAATCTCCCATCAGAATGGTCAGGTCCTTTGTTTGGCACTTCTCGACGATTGACTGTAGCCTATTGTAGAATTGATCTTTAGCGTCTTCATTATAGTCGTTGGTAGGCGCATAGCATTGGATGATATTCATTGAAATGCCCTCCTTTTTTGTTTTGAACGAGGCTTTGATGATGCTTGGTCCATGAGATTCCCATCCTAAAAGCGCATTTTGCGCTTGCTTGGACAGCATCAATGCAACTCCATGTGTATGTGCGGCATTTTCTCCGTCATGGCCGGAGTATAACAGAAGCTCTCCTGAAGTTAGTCGTTGTTGTCCAACTTGCAACTAATGTGTTTCACTGATCCCAAGCACCTCTAGGTTGTATCTTCTCATTTCTGCAGAAATTTGGAAGGCTCTTCCGGTGTCCCACATTGTACGAACATTCCATGTACCTAAATAAATGGTCTCTCTGGTTGTCAGAAGGGGTATCGGCCTCGTAACTTCCGAAGGAATACGGCTTTCATCATGAGGCATCATAGTTCTTCTAAATGAAGACCTTCTGACTCCCAGGGTAGAGTTTGAAAGGTTTTAATAATTTTTTTGGTTAGCGTTTTTTAAAGAGTTGTTTTTCTGCGGGTTGGGGACGCTAACCCCATTATCAACCCTCCTCCTTTATCCGGGCTTGGGACCGGCAGTAGCCGTCGGAGGGACTTCAGGCGGAGTCAATAAAATATAATATTATATAAATTCACTTGGTGTTGTTTTACTTGTATCTTCATCCCATTGTCACCCTATTGCAAAAGCTTGTGGCTATCAGGACTCTGTAGGTAGATGGATAACGCGATGTCATTTGAAGAGATCGGTATTTGACTCTGGTCTTAGAGTAAACATCTAACCTGGGATGCATGAACATCCAGTCGACGAGTCCCAAAGAAGACGAAACGCGCGTCTTTGTCCCCACTATCCATCTTTGCCTATAGTATGACATGCATTGTGAATTTAACATTTTCAGAATTCTTGCCACTTTACAGGCATTAAGTATTTAATGTACATGGTAATATCATATGTATAAACCAAGTATGTTAGTTAGACTGTTTTATGTTTTTTAGTTTAATAATATTTTTTTCTAGTACACTCATCACATATGTTAGCAATGAAAGGAATCAGCCAGGATGTTCCATTTTTTCAAGTTCAGATAGTGTTGATATATAAATTGTGCTTTTAAATTCATTTCCTGCGCCATAACGAATCGATTATAACCATCTACAGGTAAAGAATATAAGACAGAGGCAGAGAGCATGGAACATAAAAGGCATTATTTACTATGATAGATTAGTCAGGTCTGTAGAACTATGGTCTGCTATGATATTAGTACTTCTCTAATAATAGACCTAATCCTAAAATTGTAGATTTGTCATGATATAACTGCCTAATCGATAAGATCTTACGTGGAAGTCACGTCATCGTCTACAGCAACTCACTGTATCGTAACAACTCTTGATACACGATGAAGAACGAGCTTAAGCTAGAGAAGAACAATATATTTAGTCTGAATAAAAGATATAAGGTAATATTCAGCAGGGACCACGCCTGCATGGCCGAGCCATGCCGTTCGATAAACTCTAATTCCTTAAATTCATTGTTCGCGCCTTCTCCATTCTTCTGGTATTTCTCCGCGTTAAATATTGAATATCTATTTTCCGAGTAATCTCGTATTCAGCTTTGAGGATTGTGTGGTTATGGTCCAATGCCACTACAGGTCTACCGTGATAAATATGTCAGGTTATTTCATGACCTACATTTCGTGTTTGATAGTATTCAGGTAGGTTAAGATTGTTAGGGACGAAGTACAAACCAACAACAGGTCGATAAGTTTACTTAGTGAATTCGGTAATATAAATGTCTATAATCTCACTTGTGGTGTCATTGGATACTAACCACACGTCCTTTGAAGCCGGGCATATAATTGCTGAAAATGTTTATATTCAACAGTTGGCACGAGGAGAAGGTTAAAAATGGAGAACTCGTGAACATCCATGACTTCAGTCGGGTGGCATGGCTCAGCCTCACAGATGTGGTCATTCTGTACAACTTGTATTTATCCACATTATATATTATCCTATTTTCAGCTTAAATGTGTCCTTCAAAAGTACTCGGTATCATATTGTTAATTGTTACGACATGATGAGTAGACAATGATGTGATTTCCACGTAAGATATTATAGATTAAGCAGTCTCGTTATGACACATCTACAACTCTAGAATTAAGCTATTATTGAAACAGTACTAATAACGAAGCAGACCGTAATTCTACATCCCCATAGGTGTAAGTACATCTAAAGCATTTTCAGAGGATAAGTGAGAACCGATGTAGCAAACAGAGATAGGAGCGTTTTCATCTCCTGGAAAGATTTCTGTAAATTATTCCAGGGTCTGAAAAATTTAGAATACGTTTGTTCCACCAATAACAAATAGTTACGGATGTTATGATTAGAAATTTATGCATACTGAATTCCTTGACCGGGTGTAAAGTATAGTTTATTAAGCATTTTGAAGAATACTAGGTTTAGTTTGAGTCTCGTCTTCCACAAAGGGTTGAGTGCAATCCTGTTACATCTGGACTTACAATTTAGGGTACAGTCAGTCTAAAGAATGATAAGTGTAAATCATTTCTGATTGGATTCTAGCCTTAATATATCCTTAATAAGAACACTACTAAAAATAAACGTTCAGTATTCCAGGAGTGGCCAAACACATACTCTATACATCAAAATACGTGACTCGTTGTTGTCAAGGTTATGAGTTAAGCAACCAACAAGACGTTGGGACTAGGAGTTCTGTCTCGTGGCCTGTTCTGTGAGAGATATATTGTAGGAGTACCTACGTCTTAAGTCTACTACTGTTTGTAACCTAGATGATGCTTCGCCGTTTATGGTAAGATCTTAGTTGAGCGATATATTGCTGAAGTTCATCCACCCATATTTAGCCGCGTTAGACTCCAACTGCTATGGCACACACTACTGGGTTACCGTGTCGAGATCCATACTGACTCAATTTCATGTAATGTCCAGTTAATCATAAAGATATGAATAAACTATTTTACGATCATCTGCATATATATTAGGCTCAATCATATGAAATCAACCGCAAATATAATTGATATAAGCCAAAAAGAGCGAACGATTAAAAACACTACCTTGTACTACACATCTGACCATTTGGTATCGGTTGCCGAAGAAAGAATTAAACCAAACAAGCAGAATGTTTTCAATCCCGTAAGATGGGAGCTCGTCTATAAGAAGCTTATCGTTAGCTATGTCTAAAGATTTAGCATTGTCAACATACAGTTCCTGGACTAGATATCCTTGGTTAAAATGAGTAAAAACTAAATTAACGGAAGGTCAAACAAGATCGATCTTTAAGAAATCCGTGTTTAGAATCATCAATAAATTTTTCAGTGAATAAATAGCTGGAGAGTACGCCGTCAACAGTTTTTTTCCATAATCTTCCAGATAACTGAAGTGGAATACACGAGCACATAATTGTTCATGTCATTCCTATCTGCAGATTTGTAAGATGGTACGATATGTGAGGTTTTTGAACATTAAGGGCAAGTGCCTGTTTTCAGAGAAAGTGAGTTAACATCTTTAGAGGAAGCAGTGATATGTGTAGCCCAACATATTTGTAGAGGACGGATGAAATCTTGTCTTCCAAGAGGATCTTTAAAAACGTAAAGGAGTTTATAAATGTACCAGTTTTAGGCATGTAAAGGAAGTATATTTTTTTGATCCATATAAGTTGTTTTATCTACGACTACACAAGCACTCCTGAGCTTCATAAGTGTGCAAATTAACCGTTCGGATTCATTCTGTTTTTCAGCTAATAAATGTGAATCGAATCTAAAACAGTTAGGGTACAAGAAATTCTGGTGCTCTTTATCAAGGTGAATACATAGGCATGGACTATCACAAATTTGAGCCTCATTTTACGGACTATTCGCATTGCAAATTCGCCAGCGATAAAATCGACCAAAGTTTCTACTTTAATAATGACTTCAAGGTCCACAGAAACCACGTTCTTCAATGGTGGTAGCATAAAGGATGACCAGGCCCTCATTTCTTGCTTGAGGTCATCATGCCTTGATCAAGAGCCAGCAAGTGACTCCACTTCAGATTGCGTATTGTCTAATTTCTTGTATACGCTATTTAATTCACTTCGTACACTATCAATGCAAATGTTGTTGATTAATAGTGATTTTTCTACGTCTAATCATTAGTTCTTACTATTTTTCTATGTGCTTCTTGTAGACCATTAGGCTAACCGATAACGACCCATGCTCCCAATTTTGAGGAAAATTTGACCCATTTTGGGGAAGCCGGTAGAGTAAATTTTGGGGAAATGACACAAAAACCCCAAAATTTACGCAGACCTGGGGAAATCTCCAAAATTTCCCCAAACGTCGAGGAAAGCTATTTCACTTTGGAGATTTCCCAAAAATTTCCCCAAAGTTGGGAGCTTGGGGATGTAAAACGAACCTGTAACGAACGAATTTTAAGATTTGAAATTCTGCAGAATCTCACGCGTAATTTCAACACATGATCTGTAACGTCACCTGCTAACCTTTTTCAATGATTTCTCATAATAGTTTTACCTGAAAAACTTAATCTTCAGTAAACTTTCAAAAAATCATTTACCCATAACAATGTTTTTGTCTATCCATTTTCGATCCCGAAGACAATCGTTGACTCCTAATGGCGGTTCACAAAATAAAACTAGTTTGTTTTTCATATCGATTTTACATCTTGCATTTTGTTTAAATCTCTTGATCTGTCCTTGACATCAATAAGCGCTCCCCCCAGGTTGTTTCGTTTTCTTCGTTACTGGCTTGACGTGTGGCTCCCTAATGGCGTCGGCTAGTGATCTTTTGTCAACTTTCAAGAAGGATTTGGAGAATCTCAAAGACAATGATAAATACAAGATAAATGCTTTGACTATCTTTGCGCGCGATCATAAAGATACCATTGGGGTTGCTCAGAGCATTGTGGATCTTACCCTTAAGCATGTTCAAATGGTGAGTTATTTAGTATCTTCTACTTGTTATGTCCTGTGCACAATTGTACAGATGAAAAAAAGAACAATAAATGTTTTTGTCAGTTTTGAATTTTTTGTATCATATGGGTGCTGGGTTTGGGCGAAGCGATAACTAATTGCTTAAGCGCTTAATCTAGCCTTCGTATGCGATTTGTCTATTGATAGTCGTGTAGAACCTCGTGAGACGCATATTGATTAGGTAGCGTTGTAGGTTTCACGAAAAACGAGTTGTTTTTGGAATACAGTTATCAAACCTTTTATTACAGATACCGGCAGGATTGAAGCTACTTGGCTTGTACGTAATCGACTCAATAGTTAAAAACGTAGGTACACCCTACAGAAAGTTGTATACCGTGGATATTGTTGATGCCTTTGTGCATTCTTTCCAATCGGTAAGTTACTACGCGGAAATTGTCTTAATACTCTATTTAGATACGAGATGAGAAGGGGCGGTTGAAACTGTACAATTTGAGGACAACATGGAAAGATATATTTCCAAATTCTAGGATGTATGAATTGGATATTCGAGTGCGTGAGCATGATCCAGCTTGGCCTCTCTTAGCCAGCGCCCCTGAAGCGAAAGCTGCGTTTAGATCTTTACCAAATGTCCCAAAAATACAAACTAAAACGGAACCTGTGGTAGTTAGTGCCAAGCAGGAAGCGAAGGAAACTTCTTTGACAACGAAAACCGTCATCTCAGCTTCACGTGATCCGCGGCTTAATCGGAAACGAAAGTCACCCCAAGAATCTCATTCATCTGAAGAGTACCTTATCGATCGTTCAGGAGATCAAAATATGGAGTCAGTTGCTCGAAAACAAGGCAAACAGGCGGATGCTAGTGAGTTGTCTAAGAAGGTTATGTTGTTCGGTGGTGAGGACTGTGATATGCGTTCACAAAACACAATACCACCTTCTCCCGCTAGATCATCAGGTTGGTCAGATTACATTGGAAAGCATAGTGAAGTCTGTTCTCGACGAGAAACGAAAGACATAGATATGCGTTTTGCTCTGTCAGACCCTCCACTTGCCTGTTCTCCAAGTTTCAGTGTTTCTGAGAAGATATCGAAAGGACCATTAGATGTGTTAGCTATTAATAAACCTGACGCCGTACCACCAATACCTCCTGTGTCCAGGTACGACACAGAAGAACGCCTTCCACCGAGTGAAGTACAGTCTGGAAAAAGTTTTGGTAATTCTAATCCAGACATAAAATTACGTCCTGAAATTTTAAAATCTGAAAATATTCCACCTCGATACTCCAAAGTAGATAATTTCGTCCCAGTGAAGGAACATCATCCAACACCCCGCATTACAGATTTCCCCAGAGATAGACCACAGTTAAATTCATCCTTCCAGCCACCTGCAATCCCACCTATCCGTGGGCCACCGATTCGTGGTCCTGTATGGAGTGTTGAGATCAATGGATTTCCAGACATGGTTAATATTGGCGTCGATCCACGAATGCTTAGTCTTGTAACTCATCCCAAGCCACCAAGACGGATAACTATTGATGGTCAACAGTTCACACTGTTATTAGATAGAGTTCAACCATTAATAGCAATTGGGGATCGCATACATGCTGTACGATTCCGGTGTGAGTTTGCTACTATTGTTATTGATGGTCATTGTTTCAACATTCCTGGCACAGGTTTTACTCGTGTTTCCATTGGACCTAGATTCTATGTGGCATACCTAGGTGGTCCGGGTCATGAACTTGTTATCGATGGTCGTCCACACACTGTCCCTACAACATCTCACCTAACTTTTATAAATGTCGGTCTTCATTCAGTCGGTGTAAAATTTGTTGGAAACGTGCCAAGGAATGTTAATGTCTTACCACCTATTCCTCCTCGTCTACTCAAGTGGGCAGGTCAAGGTTTGTTTGGTTCACCTAAAAATCTGTTTATGGCACCACTCAACCCTATCAAGGAACTTGCACGCCTCGCCGAACACGGATATAGCTCAAGAAATCATGCTTCTTTTGTAAACAGACCTGTAGGCAATGGAAAGCGACCGTCACCTATGCGTCCTACAGATGCTCCAAATAGCAGTAACCAAAGTAATGGACAAAAATTACCAGAGTTTGTGAACCCTGATATCAGTAGTAAGAGCGAAAAATCTATACCAAACAAAGATGAGAGCGCATCGAATACAAGTACTCCGCTTAACATAGATGTGCATGAGTTATTCAAAAAGTTGGTTAAAGCTGGTATAGTGCCAAGTACAGAACATGAAAAGAAACCAGAACCTCCTGAGCTAGGGAGCTACAGCTGGGAGCGTTTTAAGAATCCATTCGGTGTTGAGATTGACGAATTATATAATGGTCACCAATGTGGTCAGTGTGGTTTGCGTTTCCAAAGTGACCTTTCACCGGAGTTTGCAAAGCACCTTGATTACCATTATATGAAGAATTCAAGTTATGGACAAGAACGACGCAGTCGTAACTTCTATCAACCATTACAGTATTGGTTAATTAGTGAAATGACACGAGAGGGCGCCCCTCAATTCGAGCCTGGTAGTCCGATCCACGATTTACAAGAGTACAAATGCACAGCATTCGCGGATCCATCGAAAAATGTAAGTCACTTTCAGTTATCACTTTCGTTTTCACTTTTTAACTTCTCACAGGTCACACTCTGGATAACATTTCTGCCTTTATGGAATCCCACTAGACAATAGAGACTCTATAGAACTTGACAAAGTAGTAACTACTTAGAAAAGTGCCAGAATGCGTTGTAAAGCCGTAAAGATATATATGCAGGTATGAACCAGAAAAAGGATTCGAGTATTATCAGCTCGTTGAATACAGATAAGTAAAATAATCGTGAAGAATACCATCCTAGGATCTCACTACTTTTTTCGCTCGTGCGCTGAAATCTTATTGCTTTTAATAGTACCAGAAACGTACTATTGATGAGATGAAATTCAGACTGCCACGAAGTGCGCATATAGACCTTATCGTAATTCTGATATCTCGTAAGTGTCAGTAGGTTATCTGTGAGGTTTTTTCATACTCAACAGTTTTATAAATAGTACTCCCTAAATTACCCTAAACCTAATAGAATACATTTGACCCTGGTAATCCTATCGAAATCTGGATAATTATATATTTTACAAAAAGATTACTTTCTGCTCAGCATTCATATGTTCTAAGAGTATCGCGCTGTATACAACTGAACTGTTATTTATTTCACAATTCTTAAAACTGTCGTAATAATTCTAAATAAATTATATTCCCGGGTAACGGTGGAAAATTTTTGGTACCAAGATGTCTATCGCTTTCTAATAAGGCAGATTATATATTATAAAATACTAACAGTTACAGTCAGTCGAAATCTAGGGTTCAGCTCTAAGTATTCTCTAGAATGATTGAATGGTATCTCTTGAAGTACGGTTAATCAATGGATAATCAGTAGTTCTATGTTTATCGTACCCAACGGTATCTAGGACCAACACATTTTAAATTGCTGCTCGCGAAACGCGATTCTTACCTTCAAGTAACGTGATACTCTGGTGGTTTACATTTTACCGTTTAGAAATTTCACATAGTGTTTTATTGGTTGTTTCAAGCTTCTCATACGTTTTTTAAATTGCCATACCCAGCGTTCTAATTTATTGTCGTTTGTAGATGCTTGGTTGGAATGTAATTGTATTTCTCACTTTTTAAATTGATCTTAAAAGTCTCAACTACACAATTTTAATTAGCTTCGCTTAGTTTTGGAGTTGATAACTTGCTCATTACCGTAGCTAGTTGTATAAATAGCAGATAATATGGTAACTGCGTTTATCTATGTGTCAATCGGTATTAACTTTTTGGTTGTCACTTCTGTGAAGTCCGCGATAGGCGTAAACAATTTCTGTTAATGTTAGTTTTCTCTCAGGAAGGCTGCCATTAGAAAACGTTCTCTCATCCTAATTGTTATCTTCCCTAAAAAAGAAAACTTGGATAAGCAGTGAGGTTCGGTTTATAAATGCGAGTGGAAATGACTTCGATCTTTCCTGTGTGTTTAGCTGACAAATTTCGTTTCAGAAATTTTTTGTGGTGATTTATAATTTTATTCTTAGCAGACCAGGCGATAGCCTGGTCCAATATAGCACCAAGAAATTATCACGCTTGCGGTATGTACTTTGGAAGGTTATCCAGATAAAAAATCATGGAGAGGGGTGTGGCTTTATGACTCCATTCCCTTTAACCCCTTCAGTATTTCGCAAATTTCATTTAGGAACTGAAGAAATGCTCAAGAGTATTTTGTATGGTTGATAACACTCGTCTTTGCAAACAAGGTCAATAGACTTAGTTGACAAACCAAATCACATTACGTCGAATCCAGTAGTTACATATTTCTGCTTCCTATGATTAACATGTTAGTAATGCGCTTTTAGTGACTAGGATTATTTATCTCACATGCTAGTTTTAAATGTATTACTCAAAATTTTCTGATGTTTTAAGTTATTTTTTGGAAATATATTAGTTCCCAGTTTACATTGCGATTGCTGTGACATACAGAGATTCATTTTAAATTTGGATAACCAAAAGCTAGCGATCGTTTTGCTAGCTCTTTTTAGAGCCAAAATAATGCTCATAGACGATACCATATAGGTTTGATGTACTAACCTGTAATCATAATGTGTTGTAAAGGATAATAGATGGAAATAGATGGATACAATTGAGTTAAAGCCAGTAACCCGTTGAACTCTCTAAACACTGGCCCATATCTTTGACTTAACTGCTAGCAAAAAGTGTACAACTTTGCTTATCCGTCGACGCCGCTTGGATTCATCTCGTTTGTGATTTGGAATGAACGTAGTTTACCTTGGTAAATCTTCTAAGGCTGTTTTTGTAAACTCAGAAGTATATCATTTAGGTTTTGGTGTTCGTATCTAATTGATACGATTTGGTGCTCTAATTCAAATAGTCTCATCTTTCTAACAAACAAGATAAAGAATTCCAGGAATTCATATTACAGACAGATACACTACGTGGGATCTTGAATAAATATTTATTAGTTAAGATTGCTATGCTTGCCTCTACATTAACAAGTTCACAGGAGTAAAAATATAATATACGGCTGATAGTGAAATCTTGAAATAAATAATTGGTAGAGAAAAGAATAAAATTGGTTACTAAATCACGAGAACTAAGGAAACTATCACAACAATCCACTTAGTCAATACGGTCTACTGATTTACTGTCTTTTTTAGTACCAGTCAGATTGTAACATGTCGCACTTAAGAGGGGATGGAGAATTGCATCTGAAAAGGTTTAGTGTTAGCTTGTAACACTGTATTTATTCAACACCGCGAGACGGATTTATGTGATTTAAGCACTTCAGGTCTATTAGGGAGTTTTAATTCAAGAAAACGATTTCCGAAAACCTCGATGCAGAATACGGTAACTGAGAATATGTTGATTAAAAGTGAAAGATTTGAGCAGCTCTAGTGGATATAAGTGGATATGGTTAGCGCGATTTATTGTAACCTCTGACTTCGTTTACGAAATGCAAGTTATCAAAGTTAAGTAAGTGACTATAATGTATTGCCAGTGACTTCAAAAGAGATAATTACGTGTAGTGGGGATCAATTATGAGTTGAAGAATATTATTATACATATCTCAGAGCGTGTGATTCGACGTAAGCCAAAAAAGGATAAAGTCGTCACTCATTTGCAATTGCTTTAGGAGGATTTAGGGGACTGAGTAATCGTTTCCTGTACGGATACTATTATTGAATCGTTGAGATCAGTATTAATAAACGACAGAATAAGCTCTATCCCTAGTCTACACTTCCTAATTATTTCCTGTCAAGAAATGTATTCGGCTCATCAATAATTACCTTAACTAATGGGATATCATCGATAACCTCAATGGTATTTCTCGCCACCTGAGTATTTTCTAACCGGATTTCAATCTTGAACGATATATGTAAGTGTAGACAATAGTCAAGTACCCATAACACGTAACGACCATCAGTGAAGATTAACTGTCCTCTTCATTTAGTGTTTTACTTATATGATCAGTTTTACTGTCATATCAATCCCAAAATACGTGACCACTTCTTTGAAAGCACACAGGACTGAATATTAGCGACACGGCCCCTGTCTTTCACGATGTTTTATTCACTTATTTATTTTAACACAGATATTGGTACAAGGAGGCATCGGATACATATGCGCCACACAAATCTCATTTGATATGTGTGAGGGCTGTGGTACTTCCCGGGTGCCCACACCGAAATGGGTGGTTTTCTTAGAAGACCACACCCGGAGGCTTCGACCTGAAGGTCTGATCCACAAGGCAATGAAGCATCGTAAGGAAATGCAGTTTCATGTTAGCCGGTGACCAACGATTGGTTCGTACGCCATTTGTTCCTTCAAGATACTGGACCCCATGTGCATCATTGGTTTGGAATCAGGGTTTTCCAACCCCCCTAGTTGGACTCTCCGTGTCCATCAACCCGGTTAAAGCGTCGGACATTCGCTTTTCGTCCTCTCAATTCCGTAAACAACACCCCCGCCACGAGAAGGCAGTGAGTAGAGCTTCCCTGACAGAGATTATTATACGCGTGGCCGTGTGAGAGCATTTCGAGAGGGAATGCGGACTCTCTCCACTCTCGGCCGTACCAGGGCATTTGGGGCCCCCCTTTCACCATGATTTACGTCGTAAAGCAATTCTGCGGACTACTCAGCATTTTAATTGTTTTTAAATAGATAGACTTCTCTTTAGGTCGAGATAGTGAAGATAAGTGGAACACAAACAAATGTTTCCATCCAAACTTTTTCAAATACCACTACACCTGGGCTGATAAGACGACCGGAATAAGCGTGGTGGTGGATGCTCACAACTACTCTATTATCAAACGAGGTATGCAGAATATTTAATCCAGCCTTACCTGAATCTCGTCTCCTTCCCCCTTCCTCTCTGTCTCTACCATATATATATATATATATATATATATATATATATATATATATATATATATATAAATGCGCGTCTTGATAGTTTTATTTTATTCGTAACTGTGCTTGTGAACACCCGGAACAATTTAGACAATTTGTGCCTTGTATAGGTATTTGCTTACGATAACCCTGTTCTAATGAGAATCAGCTTCGCTCACATACAGTAACAATCAGACCATCATTTAGTATAAAGTCTGTTGACATTAACTGCACTTAAAACAATTGGTTTTGAGAAATTGTGTTTAAATTGCACATCATTCAATCCTTCAATAAATATAAGAAGTATATCTAAATGGTTCATTCTAACTAAGCGCAGTTTTATAGAATACTAGTTCTCCACATAGATTCCTGTGATAACATTTTCCTGAAAACTAAGGAACGGAAAGAGGTTAAAATAAGTGCATGGATATCGGTGTCTTCACTTTGTTTGGTTATGGCGTGTTAGTTTTAGACTTATTTTCGACAAGCTCCAAGAATTATAATGGACTAACTTAGTTGACCCACCCTAATGGAGGGTGTACGTAGTTCTGTAAGAAGTGTTGGTTCATGAAAGTAAAATGGATGTCCTCATATAGAGTCCAGAATTGGATCAAATGAAATGGTGCTTGATAATACTACTAGATAAAGATACTTGATAACTTCATATGGATCAAAGTACTGGAATCCTGATAGTCTTATGTGTTGTACATTTTTTCGTCATACTATAGAAAATAGACATTGCTTGATGAATCAAGCGTTTTAAAGAGGTAACTGCCCTTTCCAAAGTAAACAGATCCGGTGTAATTAACGTACTTCATTATCAAATAGCTTGATCGTATCTAAGCTTTCTCAATTTCTGTCCAATTGAAGGAAGTTTAAATGCCACTGTTAACGTGATATCACTCACTGGTTAGCAATTAGTCAGGAATTCGGAAGTAGAATCAAAGCCAGTTTAGATTTCGTGAACCTCATACACATAATGTTAGGATTTCTAATAAGAGTGTTGGTCCTGATTTTTATAGTACATAAATGTTGAAAAACCGACTGGTAATATAACGGTGTCAGTCATCTTAGATGATAGCAATATGGGCCCATGTATGTTTGTTCCATGTTGTAAAGTGATGAAGAATGTATGAGATCGTTCATCCATAATTAATTCACAATTTTCAGGTCGTAACTACTTGTTATGTAAGCCATTATGCAAATGTCGTGTAAATATTTTACTTTTAGAACCGTTAGCTCAAAGTATGGAGCATTTTGATTACGCATTCTTTGAGTATGTTTTCTTTAAAGTGTAGAAGACTTTTGGATTACACGTTGCAATACATCAGATGAATATAAATGTTAACAACCAAATTCCGACTAGCAGATTGTGACTTAATACTTTACTGTATCAGTAGTCTTGTCGTGAACACCATCTAAGGGTTATATATTCTTTGAAAAATTCAATAGTACTGTTTTGTTGGTAATGTAAAGGTTATCGGTTGTTTATGTCAAATTTATTACTGGGAACTGTTAATTCTATTTCATCAGGTGCTTCAAAGCAGTTGTAAGGTCTAATAATGTTTTTCGTTTACTTTCGCTTGGTTGATACGTAATTCAGATTTTTTAAATTCATTACTGTTTCACAATTTGTTTTTTACTATAAGTGTACACTGCTTTTTTAAAAAATACTCATCGTTCTTATTGATAGATATTTGTGTATACGTATAGTAAATATCTGTTACATTTGTTCTGGTCGAGCGATGTATATGCACTGATTAGATTTGACCAATTTTAGAAACGGAAGTAAAGGGAATGAATAAATAAATGTTAACTGTGACCATGTTAACATTAATTAAGTATCTAAACAACCGTTTAAAACCTTAATGATAATTACCTAACATTTAAACATAACTTCAGACGATTGGGAATGATTCGTAGTTGAGCGGTCGACAGTATGTCATCTAGAAGACAATTAGTGGCCTACCATATACAATAAGGTAGTTCTATTGTCGTCAGTTCAGTAATCATTCATCCTAGATTTAAATGTAAGAAACATAGTGCGAAATGAACATAGCAATTTTTTAAGTCTAGTTTCGAGTTTATGATTAATGGAAACTTTTGACACTTATATATATTTCATTCTCAGAGAGCAGATTTACTGTTATACTTGTAATGGTATTGCAACCGGTAAAAATACTATCACTACCTAAATCAACTTTAAAGTACTTCTTTCACATACTTTTATTTTATAATTGATTATGCTAACAATAGTTTGCATGTCGACCTTACTAAACTTGATGAGATACAAACAGTAATGTAATGCTGAATTGGGCTTGATAGTGTCATAGCGGCTTCCTAGCAATCTATCTGAATATTGACTTGATTTTTGTCGTTGAACTAAACTTTAGCGTAGTTAGTCTACGATATGGTACATGTTCGCGTTTAGAGCTCATTTCAAAGCTTTATTGGTTTTCTGTATTACAAATTATTCCATTTATTGTTTACTTATCCGTTTTTGTACATTATTTCTGCTTATCCTCTCTATTTATCAAACTTTGACATATTTAACCATTGAACTATTACACAAAATTATGTTCTATCTACCTAAAGGTTACGCGACATGTAGTTATTCTCAGTTGAAACTGAAAGTCTTATTTTCATCCATTTGAGGAAGGAAAGGTAGTTTACTGAAAAAAATTCTCGACAACTTCATGCGCTAAAGCTGTGTAATCGTACAGTCATATATTTATATTTGTGCATTTGGTGCTGCAAAAATTGTGCTCCTCTATTGCAGGTGTTTTTTTCCAAAGAATCATTTCGAGAGATCAAACGTTCTTCAGTCGGTTTGTGTTTTAGACTTTTCCCTAAGTTGTTCACTTTATATTTTTGAAGTGTTTCATTCCCAATTTATTATCAATATATTTTGATTATTACCCTGAAGAAGTCCAGACAAGTTAGCTGGACAAAACGTTGGAATTACTTAAATTTTAATCGCTGAGATTATTTCAAATATAATTTCCACATATAATTATTATCAATATGTTTTGTTATTAAAGGTGTGTGCTGTGTGTTACGAAAGTTTTGAAGTAGTTTGGGATCATGAAGAAGAAGAATGGATGCTAAAAGATGCTATTCGAGTTGATGACAAGGTATATCATCCTATTTGTCAAGAAGATGCAGGAAAAGAATTCTCAATTAAAGATGTAAGTTGAATTTATCGCAAGTCGATTTCTTTTCTTGTATTAAATTGTATTAAAGCATCTGGAAAAAGTAATTGTACACTCAATCTTAAGTGAATGGTAAATTTAAATTAAATTACTATGAATTCTGGAACGCCTGATTTCTAATGTCTGATAAACCCTAGTTAATAATATTTCATTTTCATACATTAACCACTGAATTCCCTAACTGATGCTTCGATTTTTAAAATCTTGTAGTGAACAAACAGTGTAGCAAGTTCGGAGTATACATTCACTTAGTAACAGATTCCCGGCCGCATCTGATACCGTGACTTGGTAGTCGGATTGGAATATCTTAAAGATCTAATCAAGCTATATTGGCTGAAACTTGTTATTTAGGTGCTAATACGTAGAACATGGTTAGAGAGCAGTAAGATTAAAAGTTCCAACCTCAAAGTCCGAGAACAAAGTTGTGCTGGAAACTGTACTTAGGTGTGGTGGTAGTAAAGTATTCCCCCCAGAAAAACTAATGTCTCCAGCGATACTACATCCTCGTAACGAAAGGAAGGGATCAGAGAAGGTTGCGTCTAAAAATACCGTATGCCGCCTTGCCCCGCGGGTCCCTGTCGCCGACGGTAAGTTTTAAAAGGTACAGAGCCGACACATCTGGGTCAATTCACGTAAAAGCTATATGTGGTCAGAACCAAGCAGTTATCTCTTTAACTCTGCGGTCGCATTCCCATTTCTGATCCCACAAGAAGAAGTATCCTTCCGGAGTGTGTATAACAAGAAAGTAACAACTGCCCTCATACCTCTAACAGCACTTGACTAATAACAGATTCCTCAACCATCTTGAGTTCTAAATATTTGTAACACAGTGGGATGATCAACTTGATATCTTCTCCCAAAATGTTTTACACTAAGGCGTTCTTAAGCTCTTGGATCAATGTTACTTTTGCTATTTGGTTGTACATTAGATATTTTGTTCATTACTATTTGCTTTACACAAATAATATTCGAATTTATTCTAGGAAAAGAAATTTCCTTCACCTGATCCTACTGAAAATAATAAAGAATCAACTTCCTCACCTGAAGGTGTTAAGGAAGAGGCAGTGGATGAAAATGCATTTACTTGTGATGATTTTTCAACGAATACAGTTATTCCTGGTCTTTCACCTTCTACCTCTCCACAACAATGTGAATCAGAGATGTTATCGTCGAATACGGAACCTGAATGTGAATTTAATACGTCGTTGAAAACTGAATCAATTTTGTCCAACTCAACAATTAGTGCAGATCCTTTGGCTGCTTTAAAAGCTGTCTTAAAAGGTGATATAACTTCACTTAGCGCTCAATCTCATTAACATCTGAACTAATTCACTTATTATTATTAATATACCTTTGTACATATACTACTATACAGATTTCTATTCATATAAAATTGTGTATGAATTCATTTTTTTGTAGAGCTTGTAAATATTTCATACAAATAAATGGTACCATTTTACGATGTCATATGTTATTAAAAATACTCATTGGTTAATTAAATATAATACGGTTATCATAGATGTAAACTGTTCTGTTTTGTTGTTTGTTTTTTTGTACTAAATAGACAGAAATACTAATTTACTGTAGTCAAATTATTTCACGTTACACTTCAAACAGAAATAGCGTGTGAGTCAAAACAAAATATGATTAAATACTACTACTAATATTACGTTAATAGTAAAACAGAAATATCTCATTCATTCCGTTTCATTATAATGATATTATATAGTAACATAGGTTGACTCATATTCATTACAGGCATTATGCTTATTGTGACTGGTCAACGTGCATTGAATTTTAGGTGTATTGTAATTTAGTTATGGATACAAATGAGCAATATCTTCGTCAGCTGTCATTGCAGAGACTCTCCCGAAATCTATTTCCCATTCTGAAGGTCATGCTTAGACTCGAATCATTTCTCAGTGCGATCACACGTTTACCTGAATCTTACTGGACCCAGAACAGCTACAGCAAGAAGACACGACAAGATGTCGAGAGTGTGTTTCAGATACAACCACAAAAGTAGTTCGTCAATCATAAAGGTGATGTCTACACCTAGGTGGCTTAGCATGATGTCCCAACAGTAATGAGATTTACCAGCAACTTAAACCAAGTGGTCAAGAAACACCAGTCGACTTTTGTGACATTTCATGAATGGACAGACGCTCGGAAACTAATTTCCTCAGGTCCCGAAACTGATCAGTAGCGAAGACAGCTTAGATGTGGATTGATAAAAAGTCTACGTAATGATTGTGAGCAATGGACAAAGTAACGGTGGTAGATAACTATTCAGACTCATCAAGGAAACAGGTATTAGAAATCTGACTGTTAGTGAAAGTTTCAGAACAAGACGGGACCATTGTCCACTCTCGGTTCAGATTAGAACTATTTAATCGAAAATTCGAATTGGCCTGCGGCTGCCCAATATTCATAAACAATCCGAACGGGAGATTAGAATACCCTCAGTGACTAATCTAAATTGCGTTAGAGCTATTGTTCATGATAGGTTAACCCTAGATTGACTGAGGTATTAGCTAGTATGGGATCTAATCGTAACTGCATCTGATATCAAGATTGCTGGTCGTCCAAGTTCATAAGAAAGTAGAAGTCTGTGTAACAGCCACAGAGCAATCGGTCTGATCAGTGTAATATCTAAAGTATTAACTTCAATCACCATCCAACGGTCATCTACGGCTCGTGAAAAACAAATTTGGAAATGTCAGGTTGGTTTCAGTTTACTAGTATTTGATCATAAATACCTTTAATTTATGGCTCATGTATATCGGGATTATAGATAAAACAATTCTGATTTTAGACGCAAGAAACTAAGTAAGGATGGTGACTCGATTGATGAGTAAGTGAATCTTCAGTAACTAAGGTAATGGAGACCACCAGGTACCTTCATACACTATAGTGAATAGTGTAGAATTACGTTAGAAGAAAGGTAGCGATCTCCAGACCAAGACGTGGTATCAATTCATGAGGTTCCAAATAAATTACCATGTTTTTGTTGTGGTGGTGAGATCTACATTGAAAAACAAGATTTTCCACTATAAGATTAGTATTATTATTATCAGAATGTGTTTTGTGGAGATTTTTAGAAATTTCACAAGTTGAAATCATGAGTCAATTGAAGCTAGACCACCATGTTAGCACTGGACGGTCGTTTCGTCCTGATATGGGACACCTCAGCAGTGCGCATCCACGACCCCGCACCTCGCGGGATTCGATCCCAGGATCTACTAGTTTCGCGCGTGAGCACTTAGCCATTAGACCACCGAGCCAGCATCCAACGGTGTTAATGTCTAACTTCAACCAATCCACGAAGTTGTGCCACCGTACACCATTGTCTTCAGTGAGTTCCTATCTCACAACAGACCTGGTCGAACTCCACTGGTAACGACTTCTCACTAAATAAGATTAATGTTCAACATAAAATACAATATAGTAAATAGGAATTTCTTTTTTAAAAATATCCTATTTTAAGTCATTCATTATTACATTTTATTCCCTATTTCTATTTGGATGAAATTCATTCTAGCAAATATGCTAACTGATAATTTTACTGCTCTAATATTTAATTCATTAATAATTATCATTATCATGAAATCATTGTAATCAGTTATATAAGCTTACTATAGTTATGTTCACATATAATATAAATAAATCACACTGCTTAAGAAATTGTCACGATACACTATTCTACATAAATGTTTGTAGAAGTTAACTAATATTATCTTAATGATTTTACTACATTATCAGCTCTTTCTACTATTATTATGTATGATTGAATATTCAAGTAAACAATGCTTGTAATACACCGAATCTCATTAACAGTGGTGAAATGAACAGTACAGTCAACTTATTTACGCCTGTTACTCCTAATAGAGCATAGGCCGCCTACCAGCATTCTCCAAATAGTACAGTCAAACTGTTTATTAATTTGTTTTTAAAGTTTATCATTTTAGAACCAAGTTAACGATACTTAGAAATATTCATAACTTGGATTGTCTTAAATGCTGTTGTTATGAATCTTATTTATGACTAGTGACGATGTCGACTATACGATTCAGAAACATGATCCGTAACAGAAGTATTCTCTAATTTCTTCTTTTTTTTTAAATAGTTGAAACCAGTCTCTAATAATTGATAAAACGAAGAAAACTTAAGCTCCGGCTAGACGATGATACAGCGTTAAGTAAAAGGGGTTTTACAGAATATTTTGAGTTATTCTTTGTAATCCTTCACTAAGCATATATGTTTCAAGGGACCAGATTAAATTGTATGTATTTAGAATAGATATTCAAATAAATACTTTTTGAGAAGTTTTTATTTAATCTCCGAAAAATATGAGCTTTTTCAACACATTTGTTATGTCCTATGACTCGTCAAGTATCACGTGACAAAATTGTTAATCAGAATACCGACTTCTATGACGTTATCCCTGTGTTAAACTAATGACATGCCAACCAGCACTAGGAGCCTTGAGTCAATTCTGAATCTTTATTGGTCCTCTGCAAAGCAGCTTCTCGCCTAGTCCAGCTCGTTCAGTTCAGAACACAAATACTAGGCCTAGCTATATAAATAGTAAATTTCAGACAAGTGACTTATATACAATCAGATCAGACCGCATCACACCATAAAATGAGAAATAATAATTATACAAGGTCAAGCCAAAAGTGTCTGTAAGTGTGGGATACTGTAACTGATAAATTAGGACTAATTAATGATGGTAAATCGTATAGCAGCGGCCAATAGGTCAAATAAAAGCCTACGATAAAAGGAATGGGAATACATATATAATCTAGTTAGGTAATGATTATCCAATAATAGTTCATGAATAGTTCTTCGTTCAGATATAAGAACATTACCTTCTTGAGTTATTCCTAACTCCATTTTTTACAAGTTTATAGGTAACTGTTCCATTGGATGGTGTCTCTATTCGATCTATTTTCTTAGTAAAAACGACCTGTAGTCTGGCGTCAGTTCGTGTTTGATTCCTTAACCAGTAAAATGTTCAAGATTTTCTATTTTTTTAATAACCCTCTCTTTGATGTCGAAATTATAAGTGGTATTTATACCTGATATAAGTACCTTTTCTAGCATATACCTCTTACCCACCACCGCTTATGAAATAGCTATGCATAGTAGCCATGGAGTATATTGTATATATTGCATCCACGATCCCACACGTCAGATTGTAAGACAGGAACTTCGGTTTCACGCTCTAGACCAATGAGCCAGCATCCAAAGATATTAATATCTAACTTCAGTTGACCTATGATCTTGCGCAACCTGTCGTCTATGACTATCCGTGACCATTGGAGTCCAATCCGTGTCGGGTGGAGACAGTTATCCATCTCAGGCAATCGTCTACGGGTTAAGAATTCGGGCGCGGGACCGGAGGTCTTGGGTTTGAGTCCTGTATGCTGGATCGTGGATACGCACTAATGATAACTCCCATTTAGGACGAAACGGCCGTTCAGTGTTTCCAGGTTTTCAATAGTGGTCTAGCTTAGATTGACTCGTGAATTCAAATATTAAAATTACTATAATCTCTACAAATTCCTATTCTGATAATATCTGAAGTACTCTGACTTTTCAAAAGTCAGATTTGTATTAATCAATAATTTGATGGAAATATAAATTGTTAATATCATGAATTTAAATATTCATAACCAATATATGTGACTAATGAGTAATCATTCTTATGTAGGTTACCGAGACTCTAATCAAACAACTTGAAGTGATAAACCTTAGGCAAACTAAAAGAAAGACAGTATTGTTCTACTATCCTGTCTACAGTTTTGTGTTTAGTATAGAAGTTATATAGTGCATTGAAACCACTAGTTAGTCAAAACAACCATTTAATTATTCCTAGCTTTCATTGGTTCATCATTCATCAATCGTCGTGATCGAATTCTATACAATACTTGTCTAAAATATAGTAAAACAACATTCTATTTATGTGTATTGATGAATGGGAGGTAATATACTTGTCTTTTAAATATATTTGAGTTTCGGTTAAAAAAAACTTAATTACATATATAGTGAAATGGAAAGGATATCCGAGATCTATATTTTAAGTTAATAAGTAAAGATAATTAGAGCTATCACGATGCTGAATAATGTCTAGAACAGTTTGTTACACAGAGTATACAGTATATGGGACTAAATTTTGTGAGAAATTATTTCTTAAAGGAGAATTTTGACCATTAAAAAAAAGACGGTGGCATTTTCAACTTTACATCTTACAGCGATTCTCTGAACAGTATGTCATTGATTATTACTCAGCAATCGGTCAGTGTTACTCAAT